CTTGTTGAACTGTCAGATTAATTTTTAACTTTTTACATCTTAAAACAATTGAATCATGTCAAGATTTGCAGAAGACCATACATGGCAACATGGGGTCAGACTTGATCCCAACAAAAAAGACAAAATTATTTGTAATTACTGTCAAAGAGTGATAAGTAGTAGGGTACATAGGTTCAAGCAACACTTGGCAGGGGTTAAGGGAGATGATTTTGCATGCATTAGTGTCCCTAGTAATGTAAAAAAAACAGATGTCGGCAATTCTTAATGCTAACAAAGGTAAAAAAATTGCCAAATATAAGATGAATGAGGAGATAGCTAGTTTATATACGCCATCAAGCAGGAATGATACAAAAGAGCAAATATAATAATGACCTAGAAGAGCAATATAATAATGACCTAGACATGGCCACAAGATTGAGTTTACATGAACAATATCAGAGGGAACGTGGGTTTAAAATGTCCGGTGGGTCTAGCTCAGACATGCATGGTGGGCCTAGCTCAGACATGCATGGCGGGTCCAGCTCGAGCATGTTTGCCGGGCCTAGCTCAAATATGTATAGTGGGGTTGGTGGCAATATGTATCAAGGAGAATCAGATGTTGAAGAAATTATTTCTAGGTTACCTAGGAGTGCCAGTATTGCAGGTCATGATCGTAAAGACCCATTTCTCTCAAAGCCTAAGTCACAACAGATGACCCTAAAAGGCATGGTTAAAGGAACAAGAAACATATTGGGGAGATATGTTGGTAAATGATTATACGATAAAGGGATTCCCTTTGATGCAACCAATAGCCCATATTTTCCACCTATGGTCAGTGCAATCCAGAGAGTCGGGCCCGGGGTAAAACCCCCACTGCTGTGTCAGTGGGCCAATATTAGATGAAGAGGTGGAGAAAGTTACAAAGTGGATTAGATGGAAGGGGTCAGATACATTATTGCAAGGCTGGAGAGAAGCCATCGAAACCAAGTAGCAGCATTACAAGAGGTATTATTTAATGTTTGGGTAAGAACTTCATTGAGTTGTTATATTTGTGAGGAATAATGCACTAAAAAGTAATATATTTGTTTTAGCTTGCTATGTATAGGGATGCTATAGGATCCTTCGGAACTAGACTTGCCAGGAATTCTCGAACTATGATGAATCCAAGTTATCCTCTCGCTAATATTTTGTTCATTCATATATTTAATCTTATGAATTGTTCTTGCCCTTACAATGCTTTTTACATTTTAATCCAGCTGAATGGTGGGAGATATATGGTACTGATGCACCTCACCTAAAGAGGATAGCAATCAAGGTGCTCTCCTAGACATGTTCTGCTACTGGCTGTGAGCGCAACTGGAGTACGTTCCAATGGTTGTACACTATTAGGAGGAATCGACTTGCTTTTGAGAAGCTTCATAAATTAGTGTACGTTCATTATAATTTAAACCTCCGAGAGCGTCAAATAAGAAAGAAGCTCGAAGACTATGGGCCGATAGACTTAGACACATTATTTGCCACAGACACAGCAGACCAATGGGTAGTAGAAGAGGAGG